GCCCCTGCTCCCCATTTAATGTGTTCTGCCGCCTCTAAAGATGTTCTTGATGGGCCCCATTAAACACCAAGGAGAAGTGAAGACAGAAAGAGGAGAATGAAAGCATTATCAAAGCATATATAAATGTAAGCAGAAATAAAATGAGTAAGCGAATAATGAAGTAAACAACCCTCTCCACACTAGTGAAAAAGGTTTGTTTGTTTTGTTTTGTTTTGTTTTTTGTCTTCTGCTTTTATCACTGGTTGAGAAATACTGAATAAAAAAAGCTATGAAATTGTTTCTTTGGAAGTACATAATGCATCATCCAAAATCAAAGACTGTTTTCTATCGTATTGGCATTTGCAATTATCCCACACGGCAGTCTCTCTGATGACCTACCACCATAGTGTCAATGTAAGTGACAAAGTCCATGTTCACAATTTCAAGTCCTCAGATGAGTTTCAGTTTCATGAAAAGATCTAAATGTAAAGTAAATTTTGTTGTGGAAATACCCAACATGCAAGGTGCATAGAGATGATGACAGAACTGTAAATTTCTATCATCCCAGTTTTAGTTTTCACGGAAGCCCTTTCTCTTATCTTCTCACCCAAATTCAATAAGTCATCTGTGAAGGGCATTAGGATTTGTACCCCATGTCTCATTCAAGAAAGAAGCTGGCCCTGTGGGGCATCCAGCGGCTACCAGAAAGTATCAATTTTATAAGCACCACAAACGAGGTTAGGTTAGCGTAGTATGCGAGCAGCAAGGAGGGGCAGTGAGTACAGTTCTGATGAGCCATACCTAGCTCCTTCTGTATGTTGTCAGGGATTCCTGTAATAGTCTTTCTCCTTTTGACTTTCTTCGGTCGTCTTACCAGAGTGTCTGTGTATATGAGAGACCGCCGAAGGCTGGCCTGGCGATCGAAATTCTCCCCTAATGTAGAGTAGTAGAACAAGCAAAGCGATGTTATTTTCAAGCAAGCTGACACCATGCACTTTCTTCCAGAAGCTTGTTGTAAAATGATAAGAAGGTATTAATAATGAGGTTAGCCAGTCATATGGTGATGAATGAATGCTGAAGGGCAAAAAAGGGAAGAAAAAGCACATTATCATCAGAAGGCTTTTTTCCAACTCCTCTGTGTGTGTCCTTCCAAAGGAAGCACCTGAATTTCATTTTCAAATGAGCTGGGGGAGCAAATGCAAATTTATAACACACTGGAAGGGTGACTCTGTGTTATTTAAAATATGGACCGTTCTGGAGAGTTTCACATAGTTCTTCTGGACACTGAAGTCATTCCTTCCATCAGTGTGTTTACAGTGACAGCAGAGAACATGTTTAATTCATCTGGTCAATATGATGTCTTGTCCTATGTGATGGAACAAATAACTAACAGTTCTTTTTGGGTAAAGAGCTTTTTCTTCAATCAAAGAGGCTTACAATTTGGAAAGACTGTGGAAACTGTTATTGGTGTGAGATACAACTATAATGAAAAATAAAAAGCCTTATAATGATAAAGTACTTTTATCACAACGAGACCCAGTAGCACTGCTGCTGATGAAGCCGAACTGCTTTTCTGTTCTGTGATCACATTTTAAAGTTGATCTTAATTCAGACATTTCAGGTAATGTTGCAACCAACCCCAGAATATCCCAGCCATAGGGAATATTTTCTTTCTAGAGTATATGTTGGTGTGATTAACACCAACTATGGGATATCAGAAAATAATAAAGCATGAGTTATTGATGGATCTGCTTTAAATTACTGGCTCATTTAAGAAAGCTCTATGGTACTGTCCTTGTTAAATGGTTATTCTTAATAAGTGATTTCAAAAATATATATACACACACAAATCAAATACGTCTGTCATTCCTGTGCTGCAAGAAAAGTGTAAAAACATTCACTCTTCTCAGCAATATTGACACATTTAAAGTTGGTATGTTGTGAACCTTCTATTTTAATAGCGATGAATTATGAATAGAAATTTAATCAAAACAGAGGATAAGAGATTTGAATGATCCAAACACATTTCACCTACTAAGCAACAAACTTAAATACATATTTGCAAACTTAAAACTGCTGACAACTTTGTTCCTAGAGGAAAAAAAAAGGAATGATTGAGAGAAGACCCTGAAATACCAGAAGTCACTGTCACTGTTATAAATGGGCTGCTATGAGCAATGGCATACACAGCATTTATAAGGGGCAGGTTATGACTTTAACGGTCCACTAATTCCTCGTAGCAGAGGGAAAAAATGTCCTTGTATCCAGGATTAAGGAAGGGCAAAATACCAATAGTTGCAGTTAGTCTCCATTTTGCTTCCGAAACAAAAACAAAGAGAAAACCACCTGAATTCCAAGGAAATTAAGAAGCAGACTATGAGAATGGACATCTAGAACATACACCATTAAAGGCACCAAACTCCCCATCTTGCATTGTGACCTTTTTAAAAGGACTGTCTTCCCTGCTGGACTATCCATTTCTTGAAGTTATACACCATGACTCATGTGTCTTAGCGTTGATGCACCTCAGCTCAATGGCTGACACGGTAGTTATTTAGCAAATATCTGTTGAATGGAGAGGAATTGAATCACTTCTTTTCATTGAAAAATGGCATTAGTTAGTCATGGTTACTACTGAGAAATACATTTAGTTAGCTCAAACACCAGTACAAAGCTGGTTAATAAAAACTGGCTAAGTAAGCTTACCCACTATGTTTATCTGTAAATTTTATTTCTGTTTTTTTTCTCTTCAGTTCTTAGAGGATGCTGAGTCCCCCAGGACTATGACTAAAGGGATTAAGTTGATTTCTAAACGGACAGCTCACTGTGCTAATTTTTACCTCTGTGCCTACAGGGCTTTACTCTGGATTTGAAATAATATATTTATCAGCATTTCTTTCTCCTGCTGAAACTGACAGAAAACCAAACAAAAGAGTCAATGTACACCCAAGTAAATAAGCACATGACAATTCCCCACAGGGAGCTACATTTTTTATCTCAAGTCTTCTAGAGCTTTAGAAATAAATCAGTGAAAGAGCAGGAAGTTAGTCTAACCTGTGTTAGGCTGGCTACTAAAAGTAAAAATTTTAAATTTAATGCTTCTTTTTAGCAGTATATTAGAAAAACTAATCTCTTTATGTGTATGTGAATACATGGATCCAGACAATGGATCAATAAATGTATGATTATACTCAATTTCTTCCTTTTCTGAAAATGTTAATCACTCAATTAAACATAAATTGCGTTTCAACATAACTCATTCCTCTCATCTTCTATATTGTCATTCACCTTTCCCCTGTGGCATTTTGAGACCTTTTAAACTCTATGTAATTCATATCCACTTAGTTACCAAACAAGAGAGAATTAAGGCTCGAAGAAACAACACTGTCTCCTGTTATGACAATGTATTTCAAGGCAAATAAATCCTTATTCCTGAAATTCTAGTCACTCTGTTTTAAATTTCCTGACCCTGTGGTAATGCCTTTTTTTCTAACTCCATTAAGGGTTGTCATTTTTCTTAGCACAATACCTTATAATATTATTTTTGAGGCATTTAATCATATATAATTATATTTCTGCTGCATTCAATCAAATAATGTAATGCATCTTCCTACAGAAAATATTTGCCCATGTAGTTCATCAACAAACGAACATTATACTTTATTCTGAAACATAGTTACTTATAAAAAATCATCTTTAAAAATATGTTCAAGGTGAATGAGAATCATACTCAGAAAGATCAACAACGTTAACTGTAAAGAAGATGGATTAAAATGGCATGATATTCTTCCCAGGCTTAAGTCTAATAACTGAGGGAAAATGCACAGGGAATTTAAAATAATTCATGTACTTTTTTATTGAATTTCTCTGGGATTCAAAATAGAGATCTAAATGTAATTTTTAAATGTCCTGGAAGGTTTTAAAAAATTCTTCTATAATTATCAAACTCTTAATCGTCCCCCACAAGCTCACCGATGCTATGGCAAAAAGTTTTTTTAACAGCAACAGACTCAGAAGTATACAAGTGCAATGGGTTTTCATCCTAATGTTTTATGAAAACCCGTCTTTATTGGTCATCTGATTCTTTTAGCTTCTGGCCCTTAGACCTTGCTGTATTTGTACTGTTTATCAATGCTGACTATTAGTACTATCTAATTTTCTTGAACACACGCTCCAATGGCTGAAGTTATTAACTCCTAATACATCTATTGTACATGCCCTAAGCCACTGGCCTGCACTCTTTGTGGACTATAAAGTGACAACACAGAAAAATGTTGATATTTTTAATAGTGCTTCTAAATTTGTGAAATATGGTCTTTGAGTTTTTTATGCCTTGTTATTTGTCACTTTTATTATCACAGATGTTTAAAACCTCAGCACATTTTAAATTTCGCATTTAACAATTAATATTCACATTCCAGCTTCATGAAATGTGTTCTAAGAATTTAATATTCAGAAGGAATGGATTTTTATTTAAAGATTGTAGAATTCAAATTATGGAGATCAAAATATAATTTTGCCAACCCAAGTTTAAAAAAATTATAGTTATTGCTAATCACTTGATGTTTTTATTTAAGGTAATTTTTCCATTTTCCTACTTGAGAAAACAAGGAGGTAGGAAAATCTATTCTTCAGAAATATCACAAATCTATTATCTCCACTTCTATAAATATTACTGAAAATAGCCCTTTAGAAAGAAAATAATTTTTTCTTACCCAGTACCACATTTAGAAGATATCCCCATATAACCAAAGTATTTTTAAAAAAGCAATTCAAGTAAAAAAGACACACATTAGGTGAGTGTCTGGGCCACTGCATTCTCTGATGTCAATCTTCGATGATAACCTTCTAATCTAATAAGCAATCGGAGTTTTAGTCTTTCCTTCATTTAACAAAGAATAGGAAGCCAGATGGTAGCTTTTACCTTTGATATATACATGAAATGCTGAGCAGATAACAAACCAAAAGCCACAGGCATTCTCCCAGGTACATTTTGAACCCGTCTACAGAGCAAAGCATACCAGTTATGTTAATAGGAACCACATCAGCCTGGACTGCTTGGGCTTGCTGTCGCATCTTCTCCTCTGGGGTTGGCAAGGGAAGTGACTTGGTCCAGTTCGTTTGAGTGTTAAGGTCAGAGAAGTCATTTGAGGTTGGCGTTTTAGGTCTCCTGATGGAAACAAGTCTTTCTTCTGATGAAGATATAGAAGACTGCAGTGGGGAGAAAAGTAAGAAGCCATAGTGTGTAAATAGCTGGCAAGAACATTTAAAAATACACTTCCTACTAAAGTAAAAAAAAACCTTGAACTGATTTGAAGCAAGCAAAAAAATTGGTGACATTCAGAACATAAGCAGTGGTTTGCAGGGAAGCGCTCATCATCTTAGGCATGACCCCTTAATATATGCGCTTCACGTACTCCTTGGTCTCAACCATGAGGGACCGCAAAGGCTTAGCTGACCCACAGAAGCTTTTTAAGTTCTCTCTGTTTTTCCTACATTTACTGTGGTCGGATTTAGTTTAACATTCGAAGCCAAAGAAACACCATGATGGCTTGTGGCCAAGAGTTTCCATTTTTTATTAAAATTTAGTTTTGCTCCAAGTCATTTCTAGCACCTCAATCTCATTTCGTTAAGGTGCTGACCTCAAGGAACACTTTTGACATAACAGAGCTGTTGTTCAACTATTTGTGCTCCTCTGAAACCATTTAGGTGGACAAAAATCAGTGTGAAATTGTTAGATTACAAGAAGCTGACTGAAGCTCGACTGTGGGCCTTATCAGAATCCCATGGAAACGTTCTAGCACTGTCTGTTTTGATGTAGATGAACATCCTAATGGGAGTGGAGGGGTTGAGGGGGAGCACACATTCTTCAACCCTTTCTGCCCATAATATCTTTAAAAGGACAGCTGTTTTGGCAAGCACTTTAGGAGACGCCTCACTACAAATTCATGGCAGCTGGTTCCATCACAAGGAAGTGTTAAGCATTCTGGGATGAAAACAACAATAAAAGGGTAATTGACTTTTGTTGGGAAATGGTACTTTATAATTATAGTAACTGGGTGTCATTTGAAATAATTCTGTAAAGGGAACTGTCACCCCATCAATGATTTTTTAAAAAGATTTATTTATGCATACAAGAACTGGGGTACAGTCAGAGGTGTGTGGGGTGAGAAGATTCACCAGAGACAGAATGGGGAGCAGAACAGACAGATCTACTGAAATACACTGCTGAGGGGAGCAGTGGGTAAGACAGGAGAGGTCTGCTGTGTCATGTGGGTCAGCTCCCTGGCTAGGGATTGAATTCGTGCTGCAGTGGCTGCGGATAGCTTCACAGTGCTGAGACTTTAACCCCTGTACCACCAAGGAGACCCCCCCATCAATAATTTGATTACTCTGAGATAGTTACACAGGAGTAAAAGAATAAATGCTGAAATCTTTTCCATTACTTTTCAATTTTCAGAATAAGTTGATTTCTTACCATCCTCCAAAGTTGACCAATGAGGATAGGTTTTTGGAGGGGTTACGAGGGTATCATAAAAAATTTGTGGATTAACCAAAAAAAATATAATAAATGTATAGGTTTCCCAAGTTGGAAGTGCTTAAACGAACACCCATGAAAATAGGGTATTTAAAATTCTATTTGAAATTTACTTACAGATAAAAAGTCAGTGAACCTTCCCAAAGAAATACCTGCGCAGTCAGTCCCTAGGTCAACCCACCTCACCTCCTCCCCAACCTCACACCCCTGAACAGCACCTGGCATCCTGACTTCTGACACCACCGCTTTCTCTGCCTGTCTTTGCACACATAGAGGGAATCACATTGTAGGTTCTCTTTTGCAACTTTCTTCTTTCACTCAGTGTTATGTTTGTGAAGATTTATCTATCATTAATAAGCACATGTTGATGTCCTCTAGATTGAATACAAGTTTCTAAGAGGACTTTGGTAAGAAATGTACAGAGGCAGACCAGGCGTGCAGGGGAGCGCGTTCCCGCATCGCCATTTTGCAAGAGGGAACTTTCTTGCTGGAGACTGTGTGAACCCAGCAGAAGGCACACCGAGGAGCCAGAGGTAAGCTGGGAGGCTTGCCCATGCCGGGCGCCTTCTAGCCTGCAGTTCCAGCCCAGAGGAGAGCAGCACCCTCCGCTGGGGCAGACCGGGCGTGCAGGGGAGCGCGTCTCCTGCACTGGCATTTTGCAGCAGGGACCTTTCTTGCTGGAGACTGTGTGAACCCAGCAGAAGGCTACCGAGGAGACAGAGGTAAGCTGGGAGGCTTGCCCATGCCGGGTGCCTTCTAGCCTGCAGTTCCAGCCCAGAGGGGAGCAGCACCCACCACTGGGGCAGACCGGGCGTGCAGGGGAGCACGTTCCCGCATTGCCATTTTGTAGCAGGGACCTTTCTTTGCTGGAGACTTGTGAACCCAGCAGAAGTTCCCCAGAGGAGCCAGTGGTGAGCTGGGAAGGTTGCCCAAGATGCCGGCCAGTACCAGCAACACAGTGTCACAAGGAATACGGCAAATTAGAAAACAGGCAGTAGGGAGTAGAAAAACCACATGCAACCCAGCAACTCCTCAGCAAAAAAGCACACCGCAAAAAGAAAACCATCTACCAGATTGCAACGACAGTAACTTGGAAGAACTTCTGAGCCTTCCAGATAGAGAATTTAAAATTGCTGTGATTAAAAAACTGACAGAAGTCATAAAGGAAAACAATGATAAGGGGAAAATAATTAATGACCAGAAGAATGAAATTGAGCCCCTAAAGAGGGAAGTAAAAGAAATGCAGGAGATCAAAGAATTAATGGAGACGCTAAAGAACTCTGGGAAAAGCAATGAAAGCAGAATAGATGAAATGGAAGAACAAATAAGTACTCTTGAAGACACAGAAATAAAAAGAACTAAAACAGAAAAGGAAGGAGAAGTACGAAGGAAAAAGACCGAAGAAAGATCGGGAACTATCTGACTCCATGAGGAAAGGAAATATAAGAGTTATAGGAATCCCAGAAGGAGAGGAGAGAGATGTAGGAACAGAGAAAATATTCATGGATATAATTGAAGAGAACTTCCCAAACGCGAAGAAGGAGCTGAAAATTGATATACAAGAAGCAAGAAGAACACCAAACTTCCATGACGAAAGGAAAAATACAGCAAGACACATAATAGTAAAGCTCCCAAGAATCCAAGACAAGGAAAAAATAATGAAACTAACAAGAGGGAAGAAACAGATAACATTCAAAGGGAAACCAATCAGACTGACATCAGACTTCTCTGAAGAAACACTACGGGCAAGGAGAGAGTGGAGGGACATAGTCAACAGACTCCAAGAAAACAGATGCCAACCAAGAATACTCTATCCCGCAAAGCTCTCCTTCCTCTTTGAAGAAAGAATAAGGACCTTCCCAGACAAACAGAAACTCCGGAATTTTATTACGACTAAACCCCCACTCCAAAAAATACTACAAGGAGTCCTAAAACCAGAACCTCAGAGGGACGAAAAACAACAAAAGGCCAAAGAAAGTTATTAAAAGAATAACTAAATAAAATCAAAGGAAAGACAAACACAATGGCAAATACAGATGCTAACATATCAATACTAACTCTAAATGTAAATGGACTAAACTCTTCAATAAAAAGACACAGAGTTGCAGGCTGGATTAAGAAACAAAACCCAACCTTTTGCTGTCTCCAGGAAACACATTTAGCTGCAAAAGATAAAAATAGACTCAAAGTTAAAGGATGGAAAACAATTCTACAAGCAAATGGACCAAAAAAGAAGGCAGGAACAGCTATACTCATATCAGATAAAACAAATTTCAAACTTAAAAAGATAAAAAGAGACCCCAGTGGTCATTACATTATGATCAAGGGGACAATACTTCAAGAAGAAATAACACTCATTAACATATATTCACCAAACGAAGGAGCACCAAAATACATCAGACAATTATTGGCATCTCTGAAAACAGACATCAGAGAAAACACATACGTAGTGGGAGACTTCAACACACCACTATCAACAATGGATAGATCAACAAGACAAAAAATAAGTAAAGACACTAAAGCTCTAAATAAGGATCTAGAGTGCTTGGGCTTAACAGACATATATAGAACACTAAACCCAAAAAAATCTGAGTATACATTTTTCTCAAGCGCACACGGATCATTCTCTAGGATCGATCATATACTGGGGCACAAGACAAACATCAACAGATACACCAAGATTGAAATCATACCAACCATCTTTTCTGACCATGAAGGCATCAAACTAGAAATAAACCATAAAAAGAAGGCAAGGTACTCTCCTACCTCGTGGAGATTGAAACCCACACTACTGAAAGTCCACTGGACTAACGAGGAGATAAAAGAAATTAAAAAATTCTTTGAGTTGAATGACAAGGAGGACACCAATTTCCTAAATGTATGGGATGCAGCAAAAGCAGTAATAAGAGGAAAATATATAGCAATAGATGCTCACATCAAGAAACAAGAAAGAACTCAAAGAAACAACCTAATCTCGAAGCTCAAAGATCTAGAAAAAGAACAACAAAAAAAAACCCAAAACCAGAAGAAAAGAAATAATAAAAACCAAAGCAGAAATAAATGAAATCGAAACTAAAAAAACAATCCAAAAGATCAATGAAACCAAGAGCTGGTTCTTCGAAAAAATAAATAAAATAGATAAACCCCTAGCCAGGCTCACAAGGGCAAAAAGGGAGAAAGCACAAATAAATAGGATAATAAATGAAAGAGGAGAAATCACAACGGACACAGCAGAAATCAAAAGAATAATTAATAACTACTATGAACAGTTATATGGAAACAAGTTCAACAATCTAGAGGAGATGGACAAATTCCTACAACTCTACAATCACCCAAAGCTAGATAAAGAAGAAATAGAACACCTAAACAGACCAATTACAATTAGCGAAATTGAAATGGTAATCAAAAATCTCCCCAAAAACAAAAGCCCAGGACCTGATGGATTTACAAATGAATTCTACCAAACATTCAGAGACGAATTAGTGCCTATCCTTCACAAACTCTTCCAAAAAATTGAGAAGGAAGGTATAATACCTAACACGTTCTATGAAGCCAACATTACACTAATACCAAAACCGAACAAGGACAACACAAAAAAAGAAAACTATAGGCCAATCTCCCTAATAAACACTGATGCAAAAATCCTCAATAAAATTTTAGCTATCAGAATCCA